CATATATTCATTTATGTGTTAAAGCCTGTCTCCCCACTGGGAGACCTATTTGGTTCTCAGCTGTATCCTGCGCACCCAGCACAATGTCTAGAATGTGGGAAGGGCTCAGCAAAGACAAGTTCAATAGATGCATATATGAATGTGTTGGTCATAGGAGAGGGCAAGGTTGGGGAGAAGAAAGAGTTAGGACCTGGGGCGCTGAGAGGCTTTCTGAAGGCCTCAACTGTAAAGAGAAATGAAGTCAGCTACAGAAGGGCGTATGGAATAATGGAAAACACATTGGCCTGGAAGTCAGGGACCTGAGTGAGGGTCAAGTGTTTTCCTGCACAAAGCTTTATTTTCTATGGAGTCTTGAGAAAGTCTCATGAGCGTTAAAGGAGATATTTTTGTGCAATTGCTTTGTAAATTATAAAGTGGCTTGGTAAGATGTTATTCATTGCCCTAAGATCTGGTCCCTGCCTATCTGTCCTAATGTGTTTCTTATTAATTTGACTTAGCTAGACCACTCTTCTCATTTAAAAAAACAAATGAACTGTTTTTTCCCTTAATGCAAAAGTAATACATCGTAATATAACAAAAATATTAGAGAATTCAGAGGAAAATAAAAATCATCTTTAAGTCTTGTGCAAGAACTTTACACACACAAAAAAAAAAAGAAAGAAAGAAAGAAAGAAAAGCTTGCGAGTAGCCATCTAAGATACAGCTATTGGTCCCATCCCCTTCAGAGCAAAGGAGAATAAAGAAAACCAAAGACACAAGGAAGATATTAATCCAAAGGACTAATGGACCACATGAACCACAGCCTCCATCAGCCTGACCCCAGAAAAACTCGATGGTGCCTGGCTATAACCACCGACTGCTCTGATAGGGGTCACAATAGAGGGTCCCGGACAGAGCAGGAGAAAAATGTAGAACAAAATTCAAATTCACACACACACACACACAAAGAGTTACTGATCTGACAGAGACTGGAGGAACTCCCAAGACTACGGCCCCTAGACACCCTGCTAATTCAGAACTGAAGCCACTGCCGAAGTCCACCTTTCAGCCAAAGATTAGACAGGCCTGTAAAACAAACAATAACACATGTGAGGAACATGCTTCCTAGTTCAATCAAATATACAAGACCAAATGGGCAACACCTGCCCAAAAGCAAAGGCACGAAGGCAGGAAGGGACAGGAAAGCTGGACAAATGGACTCAGAAAACCCAGGGTGGAAAGGGAAAGGGGGAGAGTGCTGACACATTGCAGGGATTGCAACCAATGTCACAAAACAATTTACGTATAAATTTTGAATGAGAAATTAATTTGTGCTGTAAACTTTCACCTAAAACGCAATAAAAATTAAAAAAAAATCATCTCTAAGATTACCACCCAGAAATAACACTATTAACATCTTCTGTATAATCTTGAGGAATTTAATTTTTTTCTAAACATGTGTGACCTAAGTTTCCCAGGCCTCAGCAGCTGTGTGCGGGACAGAGCAACATTACTGTCAGGTTCTCCCACCACTGGCTTGCTGAAGGCCAGTGCTGGGGATACCATGAGGGAGTGGAACCTCCCCACTGTGGCTGCTTCCAGCATCCTTGGCAGTAACGCCAGTGGGGAGCCCCTAGAGGTGGCTTAGGGAGGGGGTTATCTCCTTCTAGCACTTTCACTATCTAAAGTACTTACTGGATTTATGCATTTATTGTCTGGAATATAAACTCCAAAAGGACAAAAACCTTGCCAGTTTTGCCCAGTGCTGCCACTTGGTCACCTAAAACAGTGCCTGCACATAGTAGATGCTCAGTAAATACTCACTGAATGAGTAAATGGATGGATGAATGAATGAACACCTGAGTGCTCTATTACCTCAAATGGAATAGGAAGCACCTGATGAATATTTGCCTTGGGTGAATTGTGCAGGTGAGCTGCACAGCGGCCAGGATCATTGGTTATATATGTCTGGTCTGCCAGCTCTGGCTATGGTTTGGACTTTGACCTTAGCATAAAGCATCGTATTTAACCCCAATCCCTTTTGCTATCACTACTGTTACTTCTTGTAATTTCAAGCATGCTCTCAAATCATGCTACTTAGCATATGGCCAAAGTATTCTGCAAAGTTTTCTCTGGTTCAATCTTAACACTTCAAACTACCCTAGGCAAGGAAGCCTATTCTCTCCCCGTCCCAAAGCCTGTTCCTCCTCCAGCCCCTTGAACTTGCTCTCCTAGAGGGGCCCATTATTATTGTTGTTGTTAGGTGCCATCGAGTTGTCTCTGACTCATAGCAACTTATGTGTAACAGAACAAAATGTTGCCTGGTCCTGTGCCATCCTCACAATTGTTGCTATGTTTGAGCCCATTGTTGTAGCCACTGTGTCAATCCATCTTGCTGAAGGTCTCCCTCTTTTTCACTTACCCTCTACTTTACCAAACATGATGTCCTCCAGGGGTCACTCCCTCTCAATAACATGTCCAAAGTAGGTTAGACAAAGTCTCGCCATGCTTGCTTCTAAGGAGCATTCTGGCTGTACTTCCTCCAAGAGAGATTTGTTTGTTCTTCTGACAGTACATGGTATATTCAATATTCTTCACCAACACTGTAATTCAAATGCATCAATTCTTCTTCGGTCTTCCTTGTTCATTATCCAGCTTTCGCATGCATATAAGGCAATTGAAAATACCATGATCAAAAAGAAACAATCTTTGTTGGTTACGAGGGATGGGAGGGGTGAGACTAAATAGACAATAGATAAGTGGTAACTTTGGTGAAGGGTAAGACAGTACACAATACGGGGGAAGCCAGCACAACTTGTACAAGGAAAGGTCATGGAAGCTCCATAGACACTTCTAAACTCCCTGAGGGACTGAATTGCTGGCCAGAGGGCTGTGGGGACCATGGTCTCAGGGAACATCTAGCTCAATTGGCATAACACAGTTTATAAAGACAATGTTCTAATTCTACCTTGGGGAGTAGCGTCTGGGGTCTTAAAAGCCTGTGAGCAGCCATCTAAGATAGTCCACTGGTCTCACCCCTTCGGGAGCAAGGGAGAATGAAGAGAACAGGATACAAGGAAAAGATTAGTCCAAAGGACTAATGGACCACAGCTACCACGGCCTTCACCAGACTGAGTCCAGTACAGCTAGATGATGCCTGGCTACCACCACTGACTGCTCTGACCGGGAACACAATAGAGGGTCCTGGACAGAGCTGGAATAGGATGTAGAACAAAATTCTAACTCACAAAAAAAAGACCAGATTTACTGGCCTGACAGACTGGAGAAACCCTGAGAGTATGGCCCCAGGACACCCTTTTAGCTCAGTGGTGAACTCCCTCCCAAAGTTCACCTTTCAGCCGGGGGTTGGACAGCCTCATAAAACAAAAGGGGACTAATGAGGCACAACAGTCCAGAGACAAGGACTAGAAGGCAAAAGGAGACAGGAAAGCTGGTGATAGGGAACCCAAGGTTGAGAAAGGACAGTGTTGACATGTCATGGGGTTGTTAACCATAGTCATAGGGCAATATATGTACTAACTGTTTAATGAAAAACTGTTTGCTCTGCAAACCTTCATCTAAGGTACAAAAAAAAAAAAAAAAGAATTATCTATGTGAGATCAAATCGACAACAGCAAATCAAAAGGTTTGATGGGAAGCCTATGATGCAGTGAGTTGAAGATAATGGTGACGGAATAATTTGGAAAAGGATAGTGAGAATAGCAGCACAACTGGAAGAATGTAATCCACGTCACTGAATTGTACATGTAGAAACTTTTGAAATGGTGTAACTTTGGCTATGCATATTTTCACCAAAAAAAAGGTCCTCCAAGTTCGAGAAAGGAGAGTGTTGGCATGTTGTGGGGTTGTTAACCAATGTCATAAAACAATATGTGTACTGACTGTTTAATGAGAAACTATTTGTTCTGTAAACCTTCATCTAAAGTACAATAAAAAAAGTTTTAAAAAATAATAAAACTGTATTAGGGGATATATGTTAAAAAAAAAAGAAAATACCATGACTTGGGTCAGGCGCACCTGAATCGTCAAAGTGACATCTTTGCTTTCTAACACTTTAAAGAGGTCTTTTGGAGATATGCCCAATGAGATATGTCATTTGATTTCTTGACTGCTGTTTCTGTGGGCATTGATTGTTGATTCAAGAAGAATGAAAGCCTTAATGACTTCAAGTCATTCTACATTTCTTTCTTAGGTAGGGCAGTGTTTCTGGCCATAATTGTGCATCTCTATCTTCAAGGGTGACCACCAATAGTGCAGACTGCCCCCCGGACGTTCTGTTAACCCAGAACTAAAACCATTCCTGAGGCCAACTCTTCAGACAAAGATTAGACTGGACTATCAAACATAAAATAATACTCATGAAGAGTGTGCTTTTTAGTTCAATCAGATACATAAGACCAAATGGGCAGCCCCTGTCTGGAGGCAGGATGAGAAGGCAGGAAGGGACAGGAACTGGTTGAATGGACACAGGAAACCCGGGGTGGAAAGGGGGAGTGTGCTGTCACATTATAGGGATTGCAACTAATGTCACATAACAATATGTGTATAATTTTTTGTATCAGAAATTAACTTGAGCTGTAAACTTTCACCTAAAGCACAGACACACACAAAAATCAAAAAAGAAATAAAAGTAAGGTCCAAAAAAAAAAAAAAAAATAGTGCAGACTGCATCTGTGGACTGGCTGCAGAAAACTTCAAGACTGCTGCTCAGAGCTGGGCTTCTGGAGCAGGGTGTCCCATTAGTCCTAGGCTATCCCCTTCTCATATGCAAGGTTGGGCACAGTCTCAGGTTGTGGGGTCACTAAATAAACTTCCCACTGCTACCCTTCACATTTTCCTTCTCCTCTCCAAAACGCAGACATCGTTTTCTTTCAGGACGTTACAACCCTACCAGGAAGAAAGTGTCCCCCTAAATATTCCCCAAATTGTTATAAAAAGCCACTTCCATTGTGACTCCCAGTAGCAAACAAGATGTGATTCATCTCTTGTGTGTTTCCTAGGTGGGATTCAAATCACCGGTACCAAAGTTGTCCTCCAGACGTAAAGAATTACCTGTCGTCTGAGGAGCTGGAGCCAGCAAGGTAAGTGAGAGAAGGTAAGGTGGACATGTTGGCCGAGCACTTTGTCCACCTCCCATGGCCCCTTGACGTCAGACCCTGCATGGGTTAGTGCCGGGACTGCTGTTTTTAATATCCATGAGGCTCTGCAGCAGGCCCTTAGATCTGAGAAACTGAGTTCATGAGGGCGGCCATTTCTCCCAAACCTTATTCAGGACAGCTTAGGAAATACTAGATGACATGGGTCTGTTCTACCCCTTTAGGGCAGGTGGCGAATAAGTGAATATCACTGAGTTTGTTTAAGAGAGGCCTCTGGAAGAGGGCATTTGTCTTTTTTCCCAGCTTTTTTACACATTGGCAGAAGAGCCTGGAATCTTTGCTGGCCTCTCTTTACGAAGAGCTGCTCCAAAGCCACTTCTTACTCACAGGTGCTGATTTCACCTTGGAGCATATCCGCTGTCTTCTGCCCTCCTTTCTCCTGCTCTCCAGCCTCTCCCACAGCAATGACACATCACTGCTCACTCTCACAACAGTGTGTCATCTGATCCTCCTCCCATGAGGCAGGTAGGGAGGAAAGAGTTATTGACTGACTTCCCTAAAGTCACATGGTCACGATGTTAGCGCTTGAACCCAAGTTTTTGACACCTGATCAGAACCTTTCTACTGCACCATATTGCTGCTGGCCTCTTGACAGAGAGGCTTGGGACAGGACGGGATGGGGACTGGAGAGGAGACTCAGCCTAGAGATTTGATGGGGAAATGGTTGGCGATAGTTGGCTAAGATGATGCTTAGGGTCATCTCTGCAGGCCGGGCTCATTGTTGTCCTTGTTCTCTCATTTTCTGCCAGCCACTAAAATCCATGATAATAATATGCTGTCAAAATTCACAGTGATTCCTGCAGGGCTTTGACTTGGGACTTTGGGTGGCCGCTTGTATAAGCACCTTGTACGTTAAACCGTGGTTCTTAGTTTTCTTTTCTGTTTCAGCTTTCTCAGCAAAGAGAACATGGGCTTGCATTCATTCTTTTGTTCGGTCTTTATATGTATTTATTTGTTTAGCTTCTTCAGTGCACCAGATATAGGGAATGAGATATGGTCCCTTCTCTTGAGTTTGCAGCTCTGTGTGTGTGTGTGTATGTGTGTGTGTGTATCATGGGGGGAGGATAGACAAAACATCTTACATTCATACAGCAGAGGTAAGCCTAGGTGGTCATGGGAGCCCAAAGGAAGAGCATTTAAGTCAGAGGGGCTGAGGTTAAGGATAACTTTTCAGAAGAAGTACCACTTGAATGGAGTCTTTAAGTATTACCCAAACCAAAACCCACTGCCACTGAGTCGATTCCAACTCATAGCAACCCCATGGGGTTTCCAAGGCTGTAAATCTCTACAGAAGCAGACTGCCACATCTTTCTCCCTCGCAGCTGCCGGTGGTTTCGAACTGCTAACCTTTTGGTTAGCATTCGATTGCCTTAACCACAGCGCCACCAGGGCTCCTTCTTTAAATATTAGTAGGACTTAAACAAAGGGCAAGGATGTGCCAGCCAACGGAGAAGTATGTTGGAAGGTGCTGAGGCGTGAAAGAGTTGAGAAAATAGGAAATAATTTGGAGAAAAGAGAATGTGGTAGGGAGTGGAAGAAGATGACTCTGAGAGGTGGTGGTGGTCCTGCATGTTTAAGACTTACCCTGAAAACAAAGGGGAAGCATAATCAGGCCCGCATTCTAGAAAGATCTCTCTGGCAGTGCAGTCATGGCTTTGTTTAACTTTTTTATGGAAAGCAGTTTCGTAATATGTATTAAGAGGCTTAAAAATGGGCATACAAAATATCCTTTGACTCAATAATACTACCTCTGGGAATAATAACAATAATAATAATAATAATAATAATAGTCACCTACTATGTACCAGTTATTGTACCAGGTATTTTTGATATGCTGTACTAATTAGTTTGTTTAATCCTTATAATAATTCTGCAAAGTAAGAATCATTACCCCCATTTTCCAGATAAAGAAACTGAAGTTTTAAAGAGTCAAGCAGACTTAGAATTGAATCGAGACTCTGTCCCTAATTAGTTGTTTTTTCTAGGACAAATTACTTAACCCCTCTGAAGCTGTTTTCTGAGGTGCTATTGCTAAAAATAATAATAATAATAAAAGCCAGAATTAAATATAAGGCTCTCTTTATTAGATTATCTACTTGTTTGGATTATATCTGCCACAGCTGGCCTCCATTTTCTTAAATTGGAGTTTCCGCTTCAAACACTAAGCAAATGAGCCAGAATTGTATGGTGTGGAGAGTTATTAGAGAGTGGCTTTGCTTTTTGGGTCCACTCTGAGAGTTTTGTGCCCTGTAGTTTTTGTTGTGTATACACACGTAACTGTTATCACATCCTCTATCTCCATTATTTGTATCTTGTCCCCCTGCAAGAATGTAAATTCATTGAGGAAGGAGATAGTCTTAAAAGTATCTTGGCATCTTCCTCAGCATCTGCCTGATTCAATGCCTTCCTTGTGGCTGAGCAGAATGATTACCTCTTCCAGAAGCAGTTGGAACATCATGATCCAAGGGAGAGAGGGGACTTTGAGAGTAAAGAGTAAGAAAGAGTTGGGGCATGGGAATGGACACAGAAAAGAGATATTTAGAGTTAGAGATTGTAAGGGAAGGTGTGGAACTAAGGGGATCTGGGATAATGTATTCAGTAGAAAATATTAAAATGTTCTCATTAGTTCTGAGTGAAGAGAGTTGTCTTAGGTTGAGTTCCCCAGAAGCAGACCCTGAGAGGATGATTCATATGCAAGGATTTACTGTGGAAGTGCTCTCTGGAGGACCCAGAAAAGGAGAGGGGAAGCAGGGAAAAAGAGAAGAAACCAGACAGAGCGTGATCTCAGGCAAAGTTCCAGCCTCAGCCTGGTAAACAGAGTTCATCCCAACAGGAGGCAGGGAACTAGGCCAGTCAGTTATGGGCCAAGGGCTCTGTAGAGGAGCTGGGGAAACTTCTAGGCACTTCCAGCTCTGCCCTTGTGAGCAGAATGGGTGGCTCTTCTAAGACTCATAGGTGGAGGGAGTTAGAAGTTGAGAAACACAGTATTGAGGGAGGGTACACAGATACTGGTGGGCATCTGGGTGGATCATTGATAGTGTCACCTTGATAACAGGTCTCCAGCTTTAACTGTGTCCAGCTGTACCACATTCATCTATCTGCCTCGAAACCCATGACCTTATGATGTTATTTTACTTGATTCTATTACAGAGTGATTGTGAAAACAAAATAAAATGAGACAGGATATGGAGAATCCTGTTGACAACTATAAAACATTGTACAAAGCCAGGTGTTAATTATTGTGTCTTTCTCTTCAGAGCCCAGAAGAACTCGGCCCTCTCCTGGGTGCTTGTCTTGCAGGCATCAGCACTGATAGTCTTTGAAAAGAGCTTGTTCATGTTGGGAAGAAAGCAGGCACTTTTTTAATGTTGATAAATTTTGCAGCAGTTTCTTTAATATATACCAGCTGCCTTGAAATACATCTAATTAACCACCAGATATCATGCTGTGGCTGTGTTTGGCTTTGATGGGCTCATCAGCCTCAGCAAGGAAATATTGGAAAGCTAATCATAATAGGACTTAGCTCTTATAAAATGCCTTTTATCTTCAAAGTGGTTTACAACCACTAGTTATTAGAGGAATTAGGGTGAACAGCAACCATCTCGCAGAGACCTGAAACCATTATCAAGGGCCTTTAATGTATCTTATAATAGAGCAAGAGAAGTGTGAAGGGGAATGCTTAATAATAGTTGTCCAGTCCTAGAAGAGTTATTTGACAGAGGTAGGAGACAGTTGTTCCCTGTCTCCCTTGAGGCTAGAAGAAGGAAATTGGACCTAATTTGAGGAGCAAGGATTCTGGATGGAGTGGTTGCATAAGCTACAGTCAGCCACCAGGTGGTAAGATTGCTCTTCTCAAAGATGCTTCTATACAAGCCCCCTTTTCTATGGACTGGGGAGATGGGGCATATCACCTTGTTGGTGACCTGTGCTGGGGGAGTCAGTGGTAGATTTGTGGGCCTCTTGATTGTATCTCTGCCTGTAGTTTTCTTGTTGTATGTTCATTTGTTTTTTGCTTTTTTGTTTATTGGTTTGTTTTGCTAGAACATAATCTTGGGTGGGAGAAACCAATTTGATTTTAATAATAATAGCTAACACTTATAAAGTAACTCCCCCCCCCCCCAATTTACAGATGAAGAAGTTGAGAGAGCTTAACAAACCTGCAAGTGGTCACATAGCAAGTGAGTGGAGGACTCGGGTAGTCTGGCCTTGGAGTCCATGTTCTGTTTTTTTTTTTCTTTTTTTTTAAGTTTTATTGTGCTTTAGGTGAAAGTTTACAGCACAAATTAGTTTCTCATTTGAAAATTTATACACAAATTGTTTGGTGACATTGGATGTAATCCTTGCAATGTGTCAGCACACTCCCCCTTTCCCTTCCACCCTGGGTTCTCTGTAACCATTTGTCCAGTTTTCCTGTCCCTTCCTGTCTTTTGGGCAGGTGTTGCCCATTTGGTCTCACATACTTGATTGAACTAAGAAGCATGTTCCTCACATATGTTATTGTTTGTTTTATAGGTCTGTCTAATCTTTGACTGAAAGGTGGACTTCAGCAGTGGCTTCAGTTCTGAGTTAGCAGGGTGATCAGGGCCCATAGGCTTGGGAGTTCCTCCAGTTTCTGTCAGACCAGTAAGTTTGGTTTTTTGTGAATTTGAATTTTGTTTTACATTTTCTCCTGCTCTGTCCCAGACCCTCTATTGTGATCCGTGTCAGAGACATCAATGGTGGTAGCCAGGCACCACTGAGTTCTTCTGGGTCAGGCTTGTGGAGGTTGTGGTTCACGTGGGTCCATTAGTCCTTTGTACTAATATTTTCCTTCTTTCTTTGGTTTCTTCATTCTTCTCTGCACCGAATGGGATGAGACCAATAGATGTATCCTAGATGGCCACTCAAAAGCTTTTAAGACCCCATATGCTACTCACCAAGTAGGA